GGTCTTTTCCAACCTAAACGATTCTTTGATTCTATGATTCTGTGATCATGGAGTCCATGCGTCTTTCTGTGTGTTCCCACTTGCAGCTTTAGAACACTTTGGCCAATTCATCTCATTGGACACAGAGAGAAAATAAATGTTTTGTGAAAACACGCTGCTGAGAGGGGCTAATCAAGTGCCCTGAGAAGAAGGCTTCAGTATGAATGCCTCTTTATGGGCATCTAGCAGAGAAGGAGGTCTTCCATATCCTACTTAGCAAAAGCTTTGCTTAGAGCACACATCTTCTTTAAATATCAAGTCCAAAAGCGCAGGGGAAAAAAATGTACAAAACTCTGAGTTCTGGTTCTCACAGAGCGTATTTCATTTCCGATCCCTGTGACTGTCTGAAAAAGTGGTGGCTTTCTTTTTCACTCACTATGATGAACATTTTACCAGGAAAATGTAAATGGCACCTAGGCATTCCTAAACGTGGGAGTCAGTGTACAGTTTGAAGATAGCTTTGAGGGCTGGATTTTGCATTGCTGAGGCCAGAGGATAGTCCTGTATCACACTGTCATGTTTTTTTCAGTTAAAGCTTTTACAAAACATCTAGCTGGTTTGTTCTTGGGCTGTATTTTTTTGTTTGGATGGTTTTGCATGCACAGGAAGGGATAGTGAATGCCTTACTTCTGGAAAAAACACAATCTTAGCATTTCTAAACCAAAGGGTAACCATGGTTTTGGGATAGAAACAAAGAAAAAAGGCAAAGTGCCTGCTGCAGAGCATGAACAGAACGGTGGGTGCTGTCCTCCTGAGGAGCAGCTTGGTTGAGATTTGAGGAGCGATGAGAACAGCATCCTTTGCTTTGCTGTCATCTTGGACAGGTGTCACACGCTTCTCAGACTGCCATTTCCCATCTCTAACCCTCCTCCTTCACTTCCTGGGGTCTGAAGAACATGCACATTTTATAAAGGAAGTCATGTACCGTAACCCTGATGAATGGAGTGCGAGCTTAACATAGCAACAGCCCATATGTACTTCCTGTATGTCAAACTTTATTTTTTTATTATATGTGTATGTATGTATCCCCGCATTTTACAGCTGGTCAGATGTCGCAGAAAGACATATTATCTACACTAAGAGTTGCTGAATCGTACAATAACTTAAGTCTAAATAACTTCATAAATAGTCAAGTTGGGCTCAGTAGCAATTCCTGAACCCCTCTAGGTAGAGCACATAACAGCTTTCTTGGAAAAAAGACACTTCGATGGTCTGAATATTCTCAGCTAGCTGGCTGTTGTATTAGGTGTGCTATAAACATACTTCTTTAAGATTTGCTTTTTCCAGTTGAGTGTTAATATTGTTAAAAGATTAAAAAAACCCACAATAATTCTAATTGTGATACTGCTATTAAGGACTTCATCTACATTCAGAAACCTAGTCTCTTAAACAACATAAACGTTAGCTGGGGCATAATTTCATTTCTGGACTTAAAGCTATTGAAGGGACGGGGTTAGACAAAACATGCTCTGCTTGCCCTGTAGCTGTTTTGCAAAGTTGATTTGAAGCACTGAACTGACAAATTATTAAATGTGTTGGATAAACCTTAGGTAAAAAGATTGCAAAGCCAGGTAGGCTGTATTTGGTGGAGTTACCACATGCAGCAATCAGGTCTGTGTGAAGGCAGTCCTCAGGCTGCTGCAGGGGAGTTGAGAAACGTTTCAAAAGGAGAGCAGCACTGTGGCACCATTCAAATCTAAATGGAGGTTAGTGCTCTTCCCACAGCATTGAAAATGCCCTGTTGAAGTACTCACTCAGCATTTCCATTTATGTACTGTGTATTTGACAGCTTTTTGCATATGGTGCTTCTAAGTTGCCTGTGCTGTCAATTTCCTCTATAATTTGCATGGGTTCTTCACAATAAAAAGCTATGGAAAACAGTATACTTTTTTAAAATCAAGAAATCATTATAAAAGTTTAAAAATCAACAGGGAAGATTTAGAACTAGGTGCCATGAAATTCCCCTTTAAAATTATTTTGGTAATGAAATGACTAGCGTGTATCCCTTTGGCCTGATTATCTTTAATTGAATTGAATCTTTTAAAGCAGAAACAAGGCCTTGTGGATAATTTAGAAAACTATTCCCTTTAAATACAGTTTCACCTTTGTCAATTATTTTCTGCTTTCTTTATATCTTTTTTTAATAAAGAATATTTGCATGAGTATAAGATGTTTTGCAAAGGTTTATCTACACTGCTATTTCATCCCCGCCTCAGTGATGCTGCTCTCTACACGACATCACACTTGTTTCCCCAGTGACCTACTGCTACA